ACCCCCGAAGGAGGGCGCACTCCCCAGGAGGCCGGGGAGCAGGGAGGAAGACAAGGGCCTTCTCTCCCAAACCCTGGAGACCCGCGCTCTTTTTGCCAGCGCAGACGGGAGCGCACGCTCCCTCAGAAGCCAAAAATCTGCCCCCGGAGGCAGAGTGCACAGCAGCGCCGATCAGGAGTGGCCGGGAGAGGCCGAGGGACGGGCCACGTACCCATTCGGATGTGCACACTTGACGAGGCCACGCAGCTGCCGTAGTTGAAGTCATCCTCGATGGAGAAGCGAGGGTAGCGGGGATCCGAGTCGGCCATAAAGGCAACAGAAGCCTTAGCTTTCGCTGCCGAACAAAGACGGCGCGCCAGATGCCAACTGTCCCCAGCTCGCTTCCGGGTGAAGTAGTGCGGCCAGAACGGGTGGTGCCGCGCTCGCGCTGCGAAGCCGGAACTAGTGGATGAGCTCAGCTCGAAAATTAAGTTAGGCTGAGAGAAAAGTTACTTCAGGTTAGGGAGGGAGCGAAGACGAGTGACGCGCTCGTTTTAAAACCTCGGACTTGGAGAGTTGCGGAAAGCGATAGAGGCGAAGTCCCATTCATCCATGCATTGTACAAAACTTCGTGTACTTTAATCATCACATTGGGAGTGGGGTGTATTTTTAATTCTATTATTTTTAACAATAACGGTAATGCTTAAATTTGGGCGGTTTCTGTAAACCGGGCTTTCTGAATGAGAACGCTTTATCCTGGAACACAAGTAGGAGTCAACCAGAGAAGAGTGGAGTGACGTGGATAGATTCTCGAGACCAACATCTGCGAGGGAGCGGGGCGAAGCTCAGTGGGAGTATGGTACAGATGGCAAAGAATAGGCTGGATAGATAAAGGCCAGATCATTCTATACCAAATTTAGAATACACTGTTCTGCCCAAAGGCAAGAGAGGATAGTGTTGTGTTAATCTAAAGGAAATGATGGTGGCAAATTCGATGGATCAGTGAATATTCATGTTATTGCTATCATTCCAATACAAAGTTGAGGTTTAGATATACCAAAAGTAATGTCATCCCAGCGTCCCTTGAAAATTTTTGGTGAGTTTACTTTGGTCAACCCACATTTGCGCAGTCCCCACTTTTAACCACAACACTCAAAAGACAGTGGAATTTAGAATAGCTGCGGAACTGTCTATTCTGAAACTAAATGATTAAACTTCATATTATTGGAAGCGTTTGTCGAAAGAACTGACCTCACTTTAATAAAGTTAAGCCAAAAAAAAAAAAGCCCTTTTATGACTTTACAAGCATACTACTAATTTTAATATAAAGTCATAACAATAGGACTTCTTGTATAAGACAAGCGAGTTGAACTGAGAACTCATCACTTTATTGACTAAAAACTTTATTGACTACCTCTTACCAATTACAAAAGGTAAATTCCATATGGATTGTAGATCTAAATATGAAAGATAAAACTTTTGAGAAGATAACATAGTGCCTTGCACGATGATTGCCACAAAGATGACTATGACTCCCCTGCTACACCCCATCCTCAACAAGCCCCCAGGAAATTTTTTAAAAAAGAATTATGATAGAAATAAGCACTCATGGAACCAAGAAAGAAATTATTAATTTTGGGAGATTTTAAATGGCTTTGTGGAGTGTTTTAGTTTGCTTGGGCTGTCATAACAAATTACTACAAACTGGGTGGCTTAAAACAACAGAAATTTCCCCTCTCACACTTCTGAAGGCCAAAGGTCTGAAATCAAGGAGTCAGCAGGACTAATTTCTCCTAGAGGCTCTTAGGGAGAATCTGTTCCATGCCTCTTTGGGAACTTCTGGTGGTTGCCATAAGTCCTTGAATTTCCTTGGCTTGTGGCTGCATGACTTCTCTGTCTTCATCATCACTTGGCCTTCTTCCCTCTGTGTCTGTATCCAAATTTTCCTCTTCTTATAAGGACACTAGTTATTGGGTTAGTACCCACCCTAATCCATTATGATCTTGTCTTAACTTGACTGCATCTGCAAAGACTTTTTCCAATTAAGGTCACATTCGAAGGTACCAGAAGTTAGGACTTAAATATATATTTTGAGAGTACATAGTCAACCCAGAATACAAGTGGAGACTTTTCCATTTTGTCTTAAAGGATAAGTAAAGGTTCACTAGGCAGGAGATACTGAAAAAATTCAAACATAAAATAACTAGTTTAGGCAAATTGGAAAAGACCCAGACACATACAAGACAATAGAGAAGAATAAGATCTGGTGAATTATTGGATATAAGCACCTAGCACAATGTCTGCCACAGTAGGTACTCGGTAAATTCTTCTGAATATATAAATCAATCAATTAAAATTACTAAGAGTTCCCTTGACCCATGTGACCAGAAAGAAAGAAGTTCATTTTATAGAAAATGATCATTTTGGGGCATGCTGATTTGAGATGAAAACAAAAAACTTAAAGAAAATTGTTCAATAAATATTGGAGACAAGAGAAGGGAATGTGTAGGGCAGATTAGGGCTGAAGACACAAATATGAGAGTGGTCCTTGTAGAGATAATAGATGAAGGATGACATTATATAAAATTTCTCAGATCTAATTTCTCAGGAGTAAATAAGATCAAAGAATTTCTCAGGAGTAAATAAGATCAAAGAATTCAGCCTGTGGGTGCATAGGATAAGCCAGAGAAAGAGTCAGTTAAGAAACAATCAGTAATGTAGGAAGAAAATAACTATTATTATAAAGGGCCAAAAAAAAAAAAAAACCCTCAAAAATTCAAGAAAGATGATGTGATGAGAGACTAATGCTATGGAATTGTGAGAATACCCTGAGGAAAAGCCATTTGATCTTAAAAATAATATTTTTACAGCCAACTATGCTGAATATTTTCATATATAAACATTATATGCATTTCTCGAATTTATGTGCAGAGGGTTTGTTATGGACTGAATTTTGTGTCCCACCCCAAAATTCATATGTTGAGCCCTAATCCCAGTTAGGCTATTTTTGGAGAAAGGGATTCTAAAGAAGTAATTAAGATTAAATGAGGTCATTTTACTTTAGCCTGAACTGACTAATACAAGATTTATTTGGGATATTTACCTAGTAGTAAGGAAAAGAAAGCCAAATCCTTGAGAAGGAATATATACAAGATTTGTGCTTATATGACATGACATGATGAGATTTTTTTGTAAGCATTTTCTTTTTGTGTGTGTGTGTGTTTTTTTTTAACAAACATTGCATCTAGAGTTCTTATAGCCAGTAACAGTTATCTCATCTGTAAAACGCAGGTCTTAGGACTAAGATCTCTAAGCCCTTTTCCAGTCTCAAATTGCAAACAATCTGAACAAATATAGTTTTTTGTCATATTCTGGCTGCAAATAAGAATCCTGGCTTAAAAACTGGCTTAATAAGATCATTTATGTCATATAAGTCCATAAGCAGGACATTCTCCCGGCAAAGAATGAACTGTCTAATGATGTTATCATGAAACTGGTTTTTTTCTATCACTAGACCATCCCCAGGGCTCGCTTCATTCTAATATTGATTTTCGTGTGATTGCAAAATGGTTCCAGAGATGGCCAAAACTGCTACATGTCCTATTCAGATCCAGAGAAAGAGAGATCTGAACGAGACTTGGTCCCCTGTTTCAAGCCATATATTATTACCTATTTCAATCACATGCTAGCCTGAATCTCAATGCACATTTTAAATTTGGAGGTCAGGATAGACGTTAGCCAAGTGGGAAGAGCATACCAGGCAAGAGAATATCAAGTGTAAAGGTTCCAAAGTGGTCTCTGTCCGATGTATTCAAAAGACCAGCAAGGAGACAGTGTGGTTAAAGCAGAACAAACAAGGAAACAATATCATAGGGTAACACAGTGTGCTGCAGGGAGAGAGAATTCAGACAGCATAAAGAGTTTGACTTTCATTCTGACTGAAATTAGAAGCCAGTGTTGGCTTTTGAACAGAAAGACATAATCAGATTTCATTTAAAAGGATCAATCTGGATGCAGTTATGAGGAAAGCCTGTGGGAAGCAATAGTGAAAACTACTTTTAGTTAGAGGACAACTACAGTAATTTGGACAAAATATGATGACTCAAACCTGGGGTGGCAGCAATGGAGGTAGGAAGCAATAGTGAAAACTACTTTTAGTTAGGGGACAACTACAGTAATTTGGACAAAATATGATGATGACTCAAACCTGGGGTGGCAGCAATGGAGGTGGGGAAAAGTGTCAAATTCTAGGTAAAGCTTGAGTAGAATCAATGGGATTTTCTGATGTATTGAAAGTAGGCTGTTAAGAAATAGAGAAGTCAAGAATGACTATAGTTTTTGGTTCTAGCTACTGGAAGGACTGAGTGACCTAGATGGGGAAAAGGTGACTAAGAGTAGGTTCAGGAGGCATGATCAAGTGTTCCAATTTTTGATATGAGTCTAGAGTTCAAGTGAGAAGTCTAAGCTAAACACTTCTTATCTACTGAGGATATGGCAATCCTCAGTAGATAAGTGGTTTTAAAGTCTCAACACTGGTCGAGATCCACCAAGGGAGTGGGTGTAGATAGAAGAACCATGGATTGAGCCCTGGGGCACTCCAATTTTAAGACTTAAGGGGGAAGAGTAGGGTCAAAAAAGAAAGCTGAAGGATGACTACTAAAGTAAGAAAAAATGTAAGAGAATGTGGAAGACAAATGAAGAATGTGTCCAAGAAGGAGGTGGTGGTCATCTGTGTCAAAAACTGCTAATAGGTCAAGTAAGATGAGGACTGAAAACTATTATATTTAGGAATGATGTGGATATAGGTGACCTTGAAGAGAGCAATTTTGGTGGAATACTGTGGGGGAAGGGGTGGCTCAAATTAGAGTGGGTTTAAGAGAGGATAGGAAAAAAATTGGAGACAGTAGCCTATTCAACACTTTACTACAAAAGAGGAGCAAAGAAATGGGGTGGTAAATAGGAGTAAGTGGCAACAAAGGGTTTTAAATTTTGTTTTATTTTGAAGTGAGAAGAAATAACATGTATGCTGATGGAATTGATCAGCGAAGAGTGAGAAATTGATGACATGGTAAAGAGTGAGGAGAACAGCTGTCCTTGATGTCTCTGAGTAGGAGACAGGAGACAGGATCTAGTGTACAAGTGAAGGGGTTAGACTTAGATAGGAGCCTCGATATTTCTGCTATGTAAAAACGGGGAGAGTGATGTTGGTACAGATGCTGGTAGGTGGGTCAACATGGTAGTGAGATTCTGTAGAAGTTTTTTCCTGATGCATAAGTATTCTCAAAGATTCTCAAGGCCATCAGCAGAGCATGAAGATTGGAGAGAAGATGATGGGAATTGAGGAGGAAAGAAAAGACATAAAACAGTTGTCAAGGAGACCAGATGAGTAAATGGACTAAAGGCACTTAGTGTAACTGCCTGGCAGCATGAAGGACCCACTTATGAGTCATGGCTTTGATTTTAAATTAAGCAC